CTGCAGATAACAGTCAGCTGAAGTGGCCTGCAATACTGCACCCTAACCACTGCGCCACCTCGGCTCTTTGTTAGGAGGTCAATGTGGCCACAGAACAAGAACTACATGCTGCCTTTTCCATGGCTCTGTATCCGAGGATTCAACAAGTGGTGGGAGTACAGAATCGACTTTTATCCAGCAGTTAAAGTTGCTGTTTTCTTATGACTGTGGACTGTTTACGATCTTAATTATGCCATGATTCTGTGGAATTACTGAATGGTGAGATTTCCAGTACTTTTTTAAAGCATAAATTGCTTGCCTTTAGTGGCTGTTAAGATAGGCTTGCAAACAAAAAAAGAGAAGTAATCTAAAATGTTATTTCTTTTATTTATATATTTAATATAATTGTTGACTGCCCCAACCTTATTACTTTGGATGGTGTAATTTTCAGCGCTGGGAATAGTACTTTAGCATTTCTTTTTGGCTTTTCCACCATGTGAAAAAAAAAAAACATAAAATTTTGCAAAAAACACACATTATGAGAATATTACATAAGGTAGACGCCATGCTAATTTTAGTCTCTTTATTTTTAACCTGAAAATTGATTGTCCAAATTTATCCCAGTCTTGCACCAGTTGGTTATGGTCTCTATTAATTTACCTTTGTGACTCCTGTGTACGGCCCTAGTAACCTCGAACTCTTGGTTTTGGCTTCACAGATACATCATCTCCCTTAGTTATAAGACAGTGTGGTTGTTTTCTAACTCTTGATTTTCGTTTTATGACAGATTTTACCACTCATCCGCCATATTCTCCTGCCACGGTGGATAATCTTCCTTATGGCTTATGGCGCCATGATGTTTTTGATCTATTTTTTAAAAATCTATTTGCAGATGAGGAGGACAGTGGCGAGGAGGACGCTGATGTGGTGACAAGGGCAGCTCTGAAACGTCAATCCCAGCAAATCATTGAGGCCAAGACCAAACGTCGCACTCGCTACAGAAAGAAGGACGGGAAACCGTGATCGCATTCTGTGTGGCCCTTAGAACCTCCTTGGCTATTAAAAGTGCTTCCTAGTTACTGGTCTTCTACATGTGAGCCAGTCCCACATTTTATGTCCACCCAGTTTTGCAGAACTCAGAGAAATAATGACCCATTATTTGTGGATCTGTCCCACCTGCCTAAGCGCACAGGGAGTGGTGTGTACCTGTGTACACAGGAATTTAGTGAGCTGAAGTCAGTGTCCTGTTTCCCTGCCTTTTATCTCTCAGCTATACGAGGAGAGTGGGTCCATCTATGGAGATGTGACCTTGAGGTTTCTGAAGGAGAGAAGAGAAATTTATCTAGTTCCCCATCCAAATAATCCAGATTATTTCTCAGAGTTTATAAAATCTGTGCCCAACTGTACCCACTGGGCCTAAATTTGACTGGTTTTGCCGCCCACCCATCCCAACATTCTATCACAAGGGTGGATGTCACTTGCTCTGTGACTTTCTGTATATATCAGAACACACATATTGTTTTGCTGTGTATGATCCAATAAACCCTGTTCAGGCTGAAATTGCCTGTATGTTGTCTGCTTCTGCCAAGATTTTAAAAATTGCATTCAGAGCTGTTGTCAGTGGCCCAAAGACCAAATACGGCTCTGAAACCAAGCTCAAATGTTTAGTTTAGTTTTATTGAACTCGTATGCCGCCCTATTCCCCGAGGGGACTCAGGGCGGCTAACAAACTAAATAGGGAAAAGGGGAAGTACAAAAAACGAAAGGACAGACAAATACAAGCAGATTAAAAACTCATCAACAGCCGCAACAATTCGAGTGGGGTTGGGAAACTCATCAACCCCAGGCCTGCCGGAACAGCCAGGTTTTAACAGCTTTGCGGAAAGCCTGAAGAGTGGCGAGGGTCCAGATCTCCATGGGGAGATCGTTCCAGAGGGCCAGAGTAGGGTCGGAGCAGCCACAGAGAAGGCCCTCCCCCGGGGGGGTCGACAATCGACACTGGCTAATTGATGGAATCCGGAGGAGACCTAATCTGTGGGATCTAATCGGTCGTGAGGAGGTAATTGGCAGAAGGCGGTCTCTCAAGTACCCAGGTCCGATACCATGTAGGGCTTTAATGTGGGTAATTACTTAGGATCATTGTCCCAAGAAATTTTTTTGATCTTTTAGAACTTATGCCTGATGTTTCTTTAACTCTGTGCAATTCCCTCCTGCTCTATTTCATAAAAAACACTTCAAATTAGGTTTGCAGCCACAATTGTTGATCCCTTTCATAGAAAAAGCAGGGGGTAAGAAGTTCTTTTTAACTTTCCAAATTTAGGCATGAGATGATGTGAATTCCTTCATTTTCCCTGCTATACTTCCTTGTTCTTGATTACCCAGGCATCTTTCCTCCACCCTGTTAGAAAACTTTATTTGACCAAGGCACACAAGGAATTTGTCTCCGATGCAGAAACTCTCTGTAC